GTCCCAACACAAAGATGTAGAGAACATACTCATGGCTTACAGGATGGGATCATTTCTGAGAACAAAACACTGCCATCAGGGAGCAGAAAGTCCCTGGGACTCTCTTCAGAAACTGCAAAAAAATAATCAGGATTTCAGACCCTTGCTTTCTGTCAGGTGACTTGTGACTTCTCAGGGACCCCAGTAGAGTTATTTGAGTAAAGCAGAGCTGTGATTTTGTAAGCAGAATGTAAAATATTTTATTTTTTTCCTTATGCATGTATTACTACATTGAGTATGATCAGGCAAAGAGGAATATTGATCTTTGATTATTCAGTGATCTTTATTATTCAACATGCAGTTGTCTTCCATGGTCTATAGTTCCACTCCTGTTAGCAGACAGCCCCTTTCTAAGCCTCTCCTAGCAAATTCTGAGTCTCTCTAATCTTCCTGGTTCTGTTGGTAATGTAGTTTGTTTTGTTATACTTGCTGCCCTGATTTGTCTTTCACTTTGTAGTTTATGTCTCAGGAATTCCCTTTAGTATTCGATATTCCAATACTCTTTGAGTCATATGGCAGGGGGATTGGAACTAGATTATCTTAAGGTCCTTTCCAACCCTCACTATTCTAACTGTATTAATGCAATGCAAATTCAAGTCAAAACTGAGGTGCGTGATCAGGAAATATTCTGAAGGTGCCCCAATAACACTGATATCAATGGCAGGAAGGTGAATCCATTAAAAATATCAAGTGTATACAGTTGCTGGTATTCTTTGGCTTGGAGGGAGAGGTCAGTTTATTTTGGTGTTTTTTTTTCTTTTCCGTTTTGTGCTGAACGTTTCTTCAATTTTAAGTTTGGTCTCCCGTGGTGGGGCTTTATAGAGAATAAAGAAAGCCAGAAGAAACACTAAAAGGAGTTAAGTACCTAAATGCTTTTCTTTATCTTCTAAAAAAAAAAAAAAATTACATTTTATTTAGATTCATCACTCTTTTGTTGAGTGTCAGCCTAATGTAATCTTAATCCCCAGAAGCATTCAGCTCTGGAAATGGTACTTTATAATAATAACTGTGACAAACTAAAAAATAATTTTCTGGTTTACTATATTTTTCTACTCAATTATTATGAGAAAGATAAAAAGAAAACTACTAATGAAAGTGGACATACAGATGCACTATGTGCCTTCAAAGTGATATACAGTAGTTATGCCCCCCAAATTCAATTACCTGTAAAGTGCATTCATGCACAGATTGTGGCTTCTGTGCTTGTCTCTGATAATTTAGGCACAATCTGATGCAACAATAATGGTTTTATTTTAATTTTTGGCTCCTTGTTCCCTCTAAAGTGTTTGCTATTCCCATAGGAGCCCTTTCTCTTTACAAAGTGAACAGCTATTTGATCGCTGACACTGCCACTGATTTGTGGAGTAACAGGATGATTAAGTATATTGTCAGAGTGCCTCATTTACCTACTGATAGGCAACAAACCCTTTGTCTCTTTTTTTTTTGATCTTTCATCTCTTTTATACATCACTGAGCTCATATTAGCAATTGACCTGCAATGTGGAAATGCAGGCGAGTTTCACGATGGCTTTAGGCAAACAAAATGATCATCAGGATACGCAAGAGTGAATCAGTTTTTCCATTCTCTGTGAGAATATAATACCCATTTTGAGGCATCTCAATTTGAGTGTTCCTGAAATCTGCACAACACAGCATACATAATTGCTTGCAGAGACTTGTCCTAATTGGCAGCTTAAGGAAAGAGACACAGACAGTTCTTACCAGTTTCCACATGGAAAGTTCTCCAGAGACTGTTGAAAGAATTAATAGACATTTCTGTCTTTCTGCCTAAGGTGCATGACTTGAAAACCCAGATGAAATGATAGCAAATCACGCATTGAGCAGTCTGAACTCTTCCCAGAGTGGCTGACATCCTTTGGAAAAAGAGACTTTGGGGGGAGAGGAATACACAGGGGACAGGAGAGGTTTTGTACATGCTTTTCTCTGTTTCTTCCATTGTTTTATGTATGTGTGTGCATATGTGCATCTGTAAAACATTATATCTGTATTCTTCCCCTATGAAAACTTTGGAGCGTATTTTTTCCTATTGTGATCAAATTAATTGGTTCATTACAAATGCTGAAGGCTGCATTTCATTTATTCAGTAAGAAGGTTTATATTCTTTTTTTTCATAATGAGTTACTTCAGTGTTTCTCCTAGAACGTCTTCTACTCTCCTTAGGGTTTAAAAAAATTTCTTCATTTGTTTCTTTTAAACTTTTGGTTTGGAATAGATGATGAAAATACTGCAACCCAAGAATTCTGTTGTAAACCTGGGTTTCATAAAACAAGTACTTGTGTTTTCCCATGATAGCTGCCTAAAAAATATCAAAGCAAAACCATTTGCTAGGCTTTAATATGAAGGTTTTTATCGTATAATGAATAAACTGTAAGATAATTTTAAATTCTTTCAGATATTGAGTAGACACAAATAATTAAAAAAAAAAATAAAAGCAAAAACCCAAAACCATCCCGGTTGATTACCTATTTGATCTGTATTGGAGGCACTTCATCTGTGAGGTACTTTTGCAGTGAACAACAGCATCTTTCAGTATACTGTCTGCTAGCTTCAACTTTCACCTCAACCAGACAGGCTCACTCCTTTTACAATATAGTCTCAGTGCTAACCATGAACTCACTCCAGCAGTCACCTTGTAATCACAGCAGACACAGCAGAGGCCTCCCCTGGGTGAGGTGTAGAGAATACAGCAATGGGAGGTTTTCAGTGCAAAGAGTGCTATTGCTTTGGGTACTTCCAGCTGCAGGCGAGCGTGTGTTTAACTGGCAGGTAAACATATGTCTATAACAGCAGGAAGCTTAGAAATATTACTTAGGTGTTTTCATAGCATCCTTTATGTTTACTATCCCATTACGATCAAGGTATAAAAAGAAATTTTTCAGCAGATACTTCCTCTTAAACTCACTGATGCTTAAGATGTGGTTTAGTTTTTTATCTGATGATCATCTTACACACTGGCTCTAGAGAAGACTGGAAGAGAGAGCATAGAATAAGGTCAATCAAGAATCCTGCTACCACTTCTTTGACCTAAGAGCTATTTGCTTTGCTGCAGAAAATGATGGCGTATTTACATTGTAGACATAGTACATTACTGTGATCAGTGATTTCGAGAACCTCATGTCCCATTTACCTAACTTGAAGGCTTATTGTAACTGTTACCACTTTCATCTACGGCAGAGCCAGGCAGTTGGCTTTTGTTATGCATATCTACTACAGAGGAGAAATAATAAAATAATATTTTTAAAATTCTGGTTTCTTTTCCTTTTTCCCAATTTCCCCTGAATGACGTCACCTGGAATAAATTTGCACTCCAGGTATTGCAACATCACAGCTCTTGTCTCTCTCCTCTTATCATAAAACTCTTACCATAAAATACATTCTGGCTTCTGCTATTCAGAGTACCCGTCTATAGTATAAACAGATGCTAGCGTTTGAAATGAGCACTTCATGGTAAGTAGAGGCCATATGCAGAGGCTAAGTAGGGTCTGCTGGCAATGAGTACATTTACCTTTCTTCAATGCTTTATTTCATGGCATTAGTTTTTTCTGTTTCTGTTTATGGATGAACGCTATTGTGATGTAACTTCTCTAAGGTGTGATCTAACGGTTCTTTAAGGAAGGTTTGTCAAAAGAGAAGGGTTGTTATGATACAAAAATTCTCAGGTCTATTCTATATTTGAAACATTTCAAAGAACTTTGTCTTCACCTGGTATGATAGCGTTGCGTAGCACTGAAAGAAGGGAGAACCTCTGCTTCAGTAGATTCTTTTCAGCTGTTTGTACAAGGAGCACGAATGTGAACTTTCCAAAAATTCCAGAGAAGAGTTTGGAATGTGGGAAGGAATATATGCCTAGTAGATGGCCTGTTTTGAAGTGGGCTGTGCTGAGAAGGCATGCACATCCTGCAGGTGTCCAAATACCTCAACTTTGGCAACAGCCATAGGTTTTAGGATCACAAGGTCACAGTTTTGGTCTTGTTTAGACTTTTTCCAATTTCAAGAGCTCACAGTGGAATGAAAAAGAGGTAGTATAGTTAATCTTTCATCCCTTCAAGTGCTGGGACCCCAGGTTGTGCAGCACTGGATGGACCTCCTAGTCACGGCACACTGCACACACCTCCTCCGTGGAGAGGTTCACTGGCATGATAGTCTTTAGAGCTCTTAGAGCATTCTCTTAGAAGTAAACAACTCTGTTCATCATTCTTACTGTCAAGCAAGAAGGATGCTCACATGAGAACATGATACTTCACTGACATGCAGACAAGGGCATGCCAGTAATGTCATGATCAGCTGCCAAATGGGAGATGCCTACAGGGTTCTCCAGTCCCATCAGCCACTGGGTTTGTCCTGCAATTGCGTGGTACATGCAGCATGGCACAGCACAAGCCTGTGTCTGCCTTAGGTCAGCTCTTACATGAATCTCTAACTGCCCAGTGTACAGTAGTCTTCTGGTTGAGATCACAACAGGTGTCCAGACCAGATACGTGGTTGTCCTTATTTAGCGTTTGAGCAAGCTGACAATCACAAGAGAAATTGTAACAACATTTTCATGGTTTTAGAACAGTTCTTATGGTAGTAACAAATACTCAGACCTCTTGAGTCAGTTTCGAAATACCTATTTTGTAATACAAATGTTGTTGGTTTATGAATGAACAAGCTGTTGCATAGGAAATGATGATGCAGAGCAAGATCACAGCAGACTTGCGCTGTAAAAATGTTACCAGGTGTGCTAGGAGTACAGTCAATTCATCATTTAATTTCTCTGCCACCATAAAAAATAAGTGCGTATTTCCAAATCAGGTGGTTGCCTAGCATCATAAATGCAATTATATCCCCTCTTTTGTGTTGGGGTTCGCAGGCTTCCGTGACCCATTACTTTATATCTGTTACAAACTGCTTTCTGTAGCGGATTCCTCTTATTCACACTCTCCTATGTGTCTTTTCAGTGGTCAGTGTATATCCGTGCTGCTGTCCGCAAAGAAAAAGGATTGCCAATCCTGGTGGAGCTGCTCCGAATAGACAATGACCGGGTGGTATGCGCAGTTGCTACAGCTTTACGAAACATGGCCTTAGATGTCAGAAATAAGGAGTTAATAGGTATGTTCTTTCCAAACAATTTATATATTCTGTGGGTTTGGTGGGATTTATTCCAGTTTACAGCAAAATGAGCTCAATGAAAACAATTATTCTCACATTTCTAGCATGATTTCTTTAATTCTTTCTCTAATGTGTCACATTCGGGTTTTATGCGACAGCTTAGTGCTATATTGCAAGGAATTGTTAAATTAATTAAGCAACATGCCGTGTTTCATGATCTGTCATGCTGTAATCTCCAGAAGAAAAGCAGTGGCTTTGTTCTGCTTTAGCACTTCATTCCTAGGCTGGCAATAGCACTTGCATCCTCCAGATCAAAGTTCTAAGCAGAACAGCCACTCCTTATCCTCAGATTATCTATTGCAAGTAATTTGGGGGTCATGAAGTGACAGATCATAAAGATTTTGAAATGGTTCCAGGATTTTACAGGGCATATTACTAGTTCTAGCAGGAAAACTGTGAGATGTTTGATTCACAAACCCATATGCAATTAAAAGGGAGAGGACGGTCATTTACAGAAATCATTGTTGCCCCTGAATTCTGATGGTATGGTAAGCACACATCTTGGCGTTTGTTGGGGTGCTTAGGTTTTTGGTGGTGTTTTTAGTTGACATTCATCCAATCACTGTTAACCTTTGAACTTTTATTTTCATGTTCTGTCTTTGAAAAGCAATCACTTCCTTCATTTTGAACTCTTTCACCAGTCATGACAAAATGATTTCTACTTCTTTTGTATGTTAAGAGCGTATTTTTTTATTCATGTTTTGTAACTTCTTAATTTGTACCATTACAGCATATGTCTCCTTGTGCTTTTAATTACAGAATTCCACAAATAGGTACTTTGATCATAATGTTTTATTATTTGTATCCATTGCTATCTCGGGGTTAGTGCTTCATACATCAGTGCTCTGCAAGTTGTTAAAGCAATCCTCGTATATTGTGCAAACTTCACCGGCAAAACGTTGTAAAGCAAATAGAGATAGAGGCTGCTGAATAGTGGAAACCTGCTGTGGTTGTCCAGGGATTGAACTCAAGACTGATGCTTTACGTGCAAGACCAGCCTGCTTGTTCAGCTTCTGCTTGTGTTCTAGTTGATAAGTTTGGCATGAAATTAGATTTGTTCTATGTATTGTGTTCAGCTTTCAGGAAGCAGGTTGCTGCACGTGTGTTCTTAGAGGGGGGGTTTCTCTTTGTTTTCTGGGAATTTTTAAGTAGAAATTACTCTGAAGCAAGTATATTAGGAAATCTGATCAAGATTAGTAAGAGACCTTTTCTTTTTCTCTCATGATTCCACCTCCACCCTCAGTCTACAGCATGTCATAATCTCTATTATTTAACATCTCATTCCATTATTTGTGGGACTTCCTCTACAGGGTTCACAAACCGCATTCATACTGAGTTACCTTATGTAATCTCTTATCCCCACTTATTGACATCACAAAAAAATCTTTGCAGTTGAATTTAGAGAGTATAAGCATGGTTTGTAAGGCCATGCATTAGACTATGGTAGCCTTTTCTGTGCTCTGATTATTATGTTTTTTTGAAAGTTTTATTTCCTTCCCAAATTTGCAGATTTCCTGTAGGAAAGTAAGGTATCTTGTGACATCAAGCTGTTGTAATATAATGTGCCATTCAAAATACTGGGTAAATTATGGTTAATAAACTTGGACGACCTTAAATTTCTAATATGTTACTAATTCTTGAAGAATATGTGATAGAAACAAAGATGAATTTTTAAAAGGTGTGAAAAGTCTATTGAAAATAATTACCTGATAAATGTATTTATGTAACAAACTTGTAATGGCTGTACAGTGCTGCTCAGGTTTGTGGTGTGATTCTGGGGAATCGTACGTCATAACTGCAAGACAAATTTGCTGTAATTTAAAAAAAGTCCAAATGTGCCAATATGACAGAGAAGTTATGACTATAATTCCTGAACCATTTCAGCTGTGATCATTGTATGTTCTTTTCTTTGGCTTTCATCACTGAACTTCAAAGGAATAGTCATGACAATCATTATTGTTCTTGTTCCTGAATATTTTTTGGCAAATAGGGCATATTGTATAGCTGGTTTTCAGAATGCTAAACACCTAGAGTGGTGGAGAAATTCACCTCATGTTGTAGGTGGTCCATTTTTGTGAATATTACAGTTTCACATATGCTGTGATGTTAGTAATAAGCTGTTGTTATGGAAAGGAGGACTCAAGTCCTCTTCAGGTTAGTCTCAAGTGTCTTTCTGCATCCTCTTTGCAGTTTTTGTTTGTGTATCAAATTCTTGTGTTGACAAACTCTAATTCACAAACTAGAATTTCCCTCTTAAAGTAACCTTCTTGAAAGGTGAATTTTCCAACTGTATATATAATAGAATTCCATAAGTTAAATTGAATTGATTGGGTTTTTTTAATGCAGCTATAAACCTTTCATTTCAGTTGTGCTATGCTTCCATTCTGTCTGACAAATTCGTAGTGAAATGTGCCAGAGAATGAAGTATTTCTTTCTGCTGCTGCTGAGCAGCTCATAAATCAGAGTTGAGGCATCTGGCATATATATCATAAAGCTTGCTAAAATCCAGAGTTGCCTGTAAGTGAACTACAAAACAAACAGAAAACCCTTTTTCTAAATGGCCCGAAGTTTCTTTCTAGAGTTCATTGAATTGACCAATCTGTTTTGTTTTTCACACAGATTTATTTCTTTTTTCTCCTTCTCCATTACTTTTGAATTGTACCATGTGTCTCTAGGCCAAGACAGCAGGCATATTCATCTTTCTCCTTCCCAAAATTGAACTGTACTGAGACAAAGACATGGTAAAACTGGCCTGTTTAGTACTGGCACTAGATAATCCAGCACCTGGGTTTCCCTCATTGGGTGTACTGCCCAGATGCATTCCTGGTCACAGTCAGGTGACACTGATTTATACCTGCCTTTCAGGACCCTTGTATGCTTGAAATAGTACCCACTCTATGTTTCTTCGAAAGAGTGCACCCCATGGGAAAGTTCATTGGCCTTTTCTCTCTCCTGGCAGTGTCACAGCTGGGGGAAATGGTGCTGTGGGTCTTGAAAAGACCCAGTACTAATATTGCCCATTTTGTTGTTTGGTTTCAGCAGTCTAGGCTGCTGCATTCCTGTGTCCTTTTGGTATCCCAGCGTCTTCCTGCTTCTCTTCACATGCTCTGTAAGTGTTTTGGAAGGCTTCTCCTTCCTCGAATCAGGTTCTGTCTCTGCTAAGCTTCTCCACAGGGCCATTATCTTCTCCCCCCCCCAGCCTCACTAGATGCCTCTGAGTTGGCCAGAAAATCAGGGTTTTTTTGCTTTTGATTGTTTATTTAGATAGAAGAAAATCACTTTTGTCCCACAGGTCCTCCAAGAGCTTTGTTGATGACTTCTGTGCAGTCAGGTCAAGCCCATATGCCTTCCTTCTTATCTCTCTCAAAAAAAAAGAAAGGGGGGAGGAGGGAGACGTAGCATAAGAAAACCACCCTTCTGTGTCCCACATCACAATACAGGAGCCTTAATCTGAGGGTATGGCATTTTACTCCCTCCCCAGGAATGTCATTTTTAATCTGCAGACCTGCTGCTTCTGGCAGTGCCCTTTCAGGATGTCAGTCAGGCCAGCACCTCGTGCCAGATCTGTTCCACCATCTTCCATACTGAGTGCACCTACAGACTTTATTCTCTAAAGACACATTTTGTTGGAATAGGGTCCAAAAATTGCTAAGGGTTTCTTTTTCTTTAGAGGAAACTTGGGCAGCTGGGCAGAGCAGAAAAGCTTAAAAATAAATTTATCTCCAATAAGCAGCATCTCTGCAGGGTGAATTGTTTCCTTGCAGTGTGCTCCAGCAACCCTCAGTTGCTTTCTGATTCATACACTTTCCACACAGTCCTCTGGGCTTCTAGGAAACTTTCTGTGGATCATCTGAACATGCACTGTAGACCTGTGTTTCTCTCTTTTCCTCCCTAGAGTCTTCCAGCCTAGCACCAGTGCAGCAGCCTCCCTTCTTGCTATTCCCATTCCCTACTCTACATGTGAGAAGGCTTTCTGAACCAAGCTTCCCCATTCAGTTGTGGGGAACAAGCCAGTTTCATATTTCTTTAATCTGAAACACAGGCAGCAGTTTCATGACCTCTTTAACCAAAAAGGATATGAAATCTGCCATTGATTGAAAACTATCTGACTTGTTATTTTACCTACACAAGCAGGTACAGACTATCTCTGTTAGTGAAATTTTCAAAGGATGAATCTGTCCCCAGACTTTGCATTTGCATTGTTCTTGTATATGCACAGCATTTACCGTTGATTTTCAGTGGCAATTATTGTGGCATTTTAAGGTGCAGAAGGTGATCTTTCAGAACGGTTAAGCTGATATTTCAAGTGAGAAGTTTGTCACTATTCATGTACAGCAGAATATGTACAATATAGGATTTGCCCTCTTGAAGTACAATTTGGAGCTTGTATTAGTATTGCATTTCATACTGTTTAGTGATAGGTCCACAGGGTATGGCCTTTGGAATGAGTGCAGAGCTGGAGGTACAATGTGTAAAATTTCAGTGCACAGTTTTGAGATTCAGGTCTTTCTATCAGTTTTCTCTTATCCTCACAGTGGTTTCTGTTACTATTCTGGGTCAATGTTGATTGAGAGAATATTGTGCTAGTAATTCGAGAGCACCATTCTTTCTCTTGGCCTTTTGGCCTGTATTTTTGTAGTTAAATGTAAGATGATTTTAGAGACTGGAAGTATTGTGATCACTCATCCTTGAAAATAAAAGGAGGACAATTCCACATAATGGCTTTTGTTGACTTCTTGTCCTGTGTTGGAAGATACATCCTTATGCATCTCTTCCCTTAAAATGTGTGGAGAACATGTTTCTGTTCAGGGCTCTAGATGCTAGGGAATTTCATGGGGTAAATTGAAGTGTACCAATATATAAGGCAACTTTTGGGGGGCTATTGCTGTACAAGCATGATTCAGATGAGTGGTATCAGTGGTACAGTTTCTGCTGCCTTC